CTCTGCCTCCCAAGTAGCTGGGATCACAGGCGCCCGCCACAACGCCTGGCTATTTTTTGGTTGCAGCCGTCATTGTTGTTTGGCGGGTCCGAGCTGGGGATTCGAACCTGCCACCTTAGGTGTACGTGGCTGGCGCCTTAGCCGGTTGAGCTATAGGCGCCGAGCCAACGAGGCCCTGTTTTTCCGCCCATTGTAGAGCTAAGAAAAATGAGGCCCAAAGAGATAAAACCACTTGCCCGAGTGCCAGACCTAGTGAAATTTGACTGCACTGTGCCCACTGTGAACTCAGACTCTCTAGGGGCAGTGCCTTTGGGGAGTGTCCCCCTCTGGACTGCTCTGCAGGGGCTAAGGCAGAGAGAACAGAGGAGAGCACTGGCCCAAGATCACACAAGTTGCAAGGTAAGGCTCCCACCCTCACCCCAGTGTAGAAAATACTAGACCAGGTCCTGGGCACTTGACCGCTCTTGGCAAGAGTGGGTGCAGGCTGGCTGGTGGTCAGAGCCATGCCCCCACGCAGGGACTCCCTTCTGGACTCTCAAGTGTACAGAGGCCACGAGCTCCTGATTCCCCTCATCCACTGACCTGCCCGCTACCCTACGTGACAACTAACAAACAAAATGAATACAGAGAACAGCAAGCTGATCTTGACCTTGTGGGCAGCATGCCCCACCCACCATGCTCACTGAGCACACAGATCCTCCCTAAGCCTCGCCCTCCCCAGTTATGAAGATACAGTCTTTCTGGAGTCCCTTCTGGTTCAACATCTGATGACCACATGTGCTGTCTCATTGAGCATCTACCGTGGCCAGGCTTTGAGCTGTATACCTTCCACCCACTATTACTGTGCCTGTGATGGTCAAGGGCCCCCTTAACCTTGCTGCACCCATTTCATCATCTATACAAAGGGGAAATAGTACCTACTGCACAGGATTGTTGTGGTTTGTATTTATTAAGTGCTTACAGCAGTACTAACAGTGCTGACATTTACTAAGCATTCTCTCTGTGTGTGTGATAAATACAAATAAATAAAGGTTACTCCATAGCCAAGACTCAGAGTTAGAGCAACAAGAACTCTGGAGGGAAGCTTGGCGCTTGTACCTGAGCGGCGAGGGCACCAGCCACATACACTGGGCTGTCGAGTTTGAACCCAGCCCAGGCCTGCCAAACAGCAAGGACAACTACAACAAACAAATAGCTGGGCGTTTTGGTGGACGCCTGTAGTTCCAGCTACCTGAGAGGCTGAGGCAAGAGAATCATAAGAGTTTGAGGTTACTGTGAGCTGTGACGCCATAGTACCAGTACCAAGGGTGACATAGCGAGACTCTGTCTCAAAAAAAAAGAACCCTGGAGGGCTTTCCTCTTTATTCACCTGCAGACGCCTCTAAGGGATGGAGTCAGCATGAGGAAGAAGACAGAGGATGACAGAGCCCCGAGTAGTGGCACAGGTCCGCAAACTCAAATTTCCCTGGTGTGTGATTTGGTGGGCAGTGGGCTCGGAGGGGATGGAGAAGCAGCCAGAGGGGCTGCTATGGAGAGGACAAATTCCATCACCTAGCCAGCTACAGGTGCAGGCCCCAGGCCAGAGAAAAAGGAGAAAGAAAGAAGAGAAAGAAGGAAAGAGAAGAAACTCAGGAGAAAGACCTGAACAGGGACTTAGGTGTGAGTCGGGGTTCCAGCCTGGACAGCCTTAAGCAAGTCACTTCCTCCTGCTCAGCCTGTTTCTGGATCCCGTTGTTATCCAATGGGGATAACTGAATCGCTTTAAGGGACTGTTGTGAGAATCTGACAAGTTAGCAGAGGTCATGATCAGAACAGTGCCCGGTGTGCAGGAAGCGCTCTGTAAGTTTTAGCTCTTTTGGTGAAGAGGGGCTGCCTTGCATGGCACCCAGGGGCCTCAGGAGGAGCCGAGATGCTTGTGGTGAGAGCATCTTTGCTGACTCAGTGGCAACAGGCATAGAACCCATACCCTGTACTATACCCAGTACCCTAGACTCTATGGCTAAGGACTGCCCACCCTGGGGTGGCACCCTGTCCATTCAGCTCAGCATCCTCAGAACCTGGAATGTTGCCCGGCATAGAGTAGGAGCCTGATAATAATTGCTTAATGATCACATTATTTTCATTCTTGGTACACTCACGCCTGGGCTGAGCCATCTTTTCCAGCCAGGCCCTCCTCGCTGGCATCCGGAAACCCAGCCTCATTCTGCTCAGCCTTGGGTCCATCCCGCCCACCAGGATCGGGGCCATCCTGGGTCACACCTATGAGCCCCACAAAGACCCTGTGGCCCCAGCTCCCTACTCACACCACGCCACGTCTCCGGCAGGATTTTGAGGTCGGGTAGAAAGATTGCACCATACGCCAGGGCAGGGGCCTTTGGAGGTAGTCCCGGCAGCAGATGCTGTCCTCCACATTGGCACCGTAGGGGCCTGGGGGGATGCCCAGAGAATTCATAAGCTGCAGCACAGAGGTCACCTTCTGCCCTACACCCTGACCCTGGGCCCTTTCAGCTTCCAGGGACAAGACGAAGCTCTTCTGTCCTTACGTGGAAGGATGAGGTGACTAGAGGACTTGTGACCCTCAAAGACCCTACCCTTGGGCCCTCTATGGGGGCACTAAGGGCCAATGTGTACCCTCTGGGATGGGCAGCTCCAGCGATAGGGATTCAGAATGAATGAGCATCAACAACGCCCTGAGCACCTGGATGGGACTCAGCACTACTCAAGGTGAGGCCCGCAGACCAGCAGTATCAGCATCGCTCAGAAGCTTGTCAGAAACACCGGGCCCCACCCAGACCTGCTGAACCCCATGCGCTTTTTGAGGTCTGCTTTGGCTCGCATCTACTCTGACCCCCTTCACTGTGCCCTGGTGGGGCTTCGGTCCAGAGAGGGAGAGGCACTAGCCCAGGGTTACACGGGAAGAATGTGACAGAGTTGGGACCAAGGCTGAGCCAGAGTACAGTCACACCGATCTGGGTCTCACTCTGGCTCTGCCTTGAGTCACTGGGTCACCTTGGCCAAGTGATTTAACGCTAAAGGAATTGAGGCTCGATTCCTACTCTGACCAAAGGCTTGATAATACAGGGTGTCCCCAAAGAGTCACCCCTAAAATCACCATACATAGGGGAAATGGGGAATTATAGGTAAATGTGCCTTTATTGACAAAATCTTCATTATAAAATTTACAAAATATACACAAAATATTCTCCACGTGTTGGCCACCTATCTGTAAAATTTTGTAATGAATATTTTGTAAATAAAAGTAACTTTAGCTAAATTTTCCATTTTCTCTACATATGAAGACTTTAAGGGCGACTCTTTTGGGACACCCTGTAGTAGCCACTTACTGGGGTCTGTCATGCATGGCACTTGGGGCAATTTCTGCTCAGAGCTGCCTACCTCCCACCTCGGTGGTCACTCCTCTGTCTAACACAGAGCAGAAATTGACAATGGGATGAGGAGTCAGGAACTCAACACGCGAACAGGTTCTAGAGCAAAAATGGGTGATGGGAGGACAAGGACCATCTTTCCATGGGCGGACCCCTCACCCAGCTCAGGCCTTAACCCTTCAGGGTGCCTCATCCGTCCCTGAGGGCCCTGAGCTCAAGTTCTCTGGGGCAGGGGACACCACAACCCCCTACCCAGCTGAGGCAGATTTCAGACTCTAAGCCGTCCAGATTACCCACTAAACAGATACATAAACTGAGGCCCAGAGAAGACTTTCTACTAGGGCCAAGGCCACAAGACGTGATAGTTGACTGGGTCTCCAGCTCTCGGTCCAGTTGCTCTTCTGTGACATGAGGAAGACACCTGGTCCAGCCCTGGCACCTCCCCTCCCCGGACTCACCGGCCTCAGTTGTTTGAAGTGCCACCATGAGAAGGACAAGGGCCATCAGGAGTGAGATCTGCAGCCTGGCCATGTTCTGTCCTGTGCGTCCCAGCCCAGGTCTACAGTTCCGGGAGCACAGAAGACCTGTATTTAAATGTTCCTTCCACCTACCAGCCTCATACTCTTCTTAGTCACCGGGGAGCCCAGAACTTCTGACATTCACATCATGAAAGGACAACTTCCACTTCCTCCAAACTGGAGAAATTCTTTTTGGTGGGGGAACCACTCAGAAGGGACCCCTCCCACCCTGACCTCCCCTACAGGTCCCTAGAGACTAGCAAAATCCCCCTTTTGGAGGCCCCAGCTCCCTGGGGTCTACTGCTGTGTGGCCTTGACCATGCCACCAGAGGTCTCTGGGACTTGGTTTCTCCACCTGGAAGTGGGGGAGATGGTTTCGCAGCCTCCCTGTGGACCTCAGCAGATGTCTATGTGGGCACACCCTCGCCTAGAGTTGAGGCCTGCCTTGTATTCCGGACGACTGGCACCATTGATCTCTCCCCAAGGGTACAGATACCTGTGAACCCACTGGGCTGATCTCTTTCCCCCATCACCAGCCTCTTCCGGGACTTCTTGAAATGTCGCAATTGGGGCTAGTTCATGGTTCACTCGACCGTTTGTGAGGAGCACATACACACCCTCTGCCCCACCTGCTCCCCTTCCTTCCCAGCTGCCGTCAGGCTCCTCCACGTTCCCCCTTCTCAGTCTGTCTCTGCGTTGCATTGATTCTGCTTCCTGAATCTCTCTCAGATCTGTCCTTTCCTCTCCATCCCCACGTCCCTGCCCAGTCCAGGCCACCTCCTCCTCATGCTCAGATACTGGCCCCCTTGATCCTCTCCCCACACCACAGTAGCCAGAGTGAGTGGCCCAGACTCAAAGCTCCACATGCTCTCTCCTGCGTTCAAAATGCTGCTGTGGCTCTCTATTAACCTGAGGGCAGAGCCCAGGCTCCAGATGATGGCCTTCAAAGCTCCCTTTCCACCCTTCCCTGGTCTGCCTCGCCTGAGGGACCAGACCACACTCGTCCCAGTTCCTCAAAGAGGTCTGCAGCCTGGCCCTGGCCTTGAATGTCAGTTCCCACTCCTCTACCACATGAACTCCAACTCATGCATCAAGAGTTATTGGAAATGTCACCTCCTTGGTAAGCACACCCCCTCAGGATTTCGAAGCTATCTGGAGGACCTGGAATGTGGCCCTAAGCAGACTGTCAGATTTTCTCTTTCTCAAACCCCCACCCCACAAGCCAAACTCTAAGCTCTTAGAGAGCCGGGGTCTCTTCATTTTTTGTTGGCATTCCCAGTGCCCTCTGAGGATCCGGGTAGGTGCTCAGAACATTATCTAATGAAGGAGGAAACCATGGCTCAGAGAAACAGGGGACTTGCCCAAGTTTTTTTTTTTTTTTTTTTTTTTAATATAACTAAATGACTTTTATTTTTCACTAAGGCTTTATCTCCGCTCAGAGCCTGTGGCTCAAGTGGCTAAGGCTCCAGCCACATACACCTAAGGTAGCGGGTTTGAATCCAGCCCAGGCCCACCAAACAACAATGATGACTGCAACCAAAAAATAGCCAGGCGTTGTGGCGGGCGCCTTTGGTCCCAGCTACTTGGGAGGCGGAGGCAGGAGACTCGCTTGAGCCCAGGAGTTGGAGGTTGCTGTGAACTGTGATGCCATGGCACTCTGCCCAGGGGGACAGCTTGAGGCTCTGTCTCAAAATAAAAAAAAAGACTTTACCTTGGGAGGCGCCTGTGGCTCAGTGAGTAGGGCACCTGCCCCATGTACTGAGGGTGGTGGGTTCGAACCAGCCCTGGCCAAACTGCAACAAAAAATAGCTGGGCGTTGTGGCAGGTGCCTGTAGTCCCAGCTACTCAGGAGGCTGAGGCAAGAGAATCACCTAAGCCCAGGAGTTGGAGGTTGCTGTGAGCTGTGACACTATGGCACTCTACCGAGGGCGATAAAGCGAGATTCTGTCTCTTAAAAAAAGAAAAAAAGGACTTTATCTCCAGGACATAACTGTTAGCAACCCCACCCCATCCTGAAGACAGGTTAGTACAGTCAATGTTATAAAACAGGTATGAACAGTCTGAAGGATTGGAGCCAATATCAGCTGACAAAGAACAACTTTCATCTAAATCATCATAAAAATGTTTAAGTTAAAAAAAAACAGAAATAGAAAAAAGGGTTGGGGCAATGGGGGGGTTCAGATTGAACAAGAGCCTCACAGTTCATCTAATATCGTCAATCTCGGCTAGAGTGTAACAAAATGGAAACAGGATTACTATCATACAAAACTTCCACTACGGCATGGCGCTGTACACCGCCCACACTCACCCTCCTGTTGTTTCTAACTTAATTATTTCTTGGCCTGTCAGGCCTGCCGAGGAAGGAGCACTTTGATCTTCTCTTTAATCCAGTCTTTATAAAGCTGGTATGTCTGGGTGTATCAGCTCGGTAAACCAGACAGCTGAGATCTGCCAGGTCATTGATAAAATCAAACAACTGACTGATACGGTGTGTGATAGAGGGACTGTTGGGATTCATTCTCTTCAGATGTTCTTCAGACATTTTACAGATGCCTTCTGTGCACTCATTCATAGTCAGCAGAAGTTCTGCCTTTCTGCCTCTTAGTAGGCTGTACCAGCAAACTGGTGTGAGACACGGTGCCAAACTCTTGGCTGCAGCCCTGATCGACACCACCGCCGCTACCAGGACTTGCCCAAGTTTACAGGATCACGCAGTGGCTGAGCCAGGCCAAGAACTCAGAGCTCAGGATTCTGTTTGCAAAGGGACTCATCCGTTTATTGGTTCATTCATTCAACAAATACGTGTTGAGCCCTGTGGTAGAGAGAATAATGGACCCCCCCTGAAAATTCCCGTGTCCTAATGCCCCAAACTTGTGAATGTGTTATTAATACCTTACATGGCAAAAAATGCTTTGCAGGTGTGAGTAAGGGAAGGAAGGATCTGAAGGGAAATTTCCCAGCTTTTCTGGGTGGGCGAATGAGATCACAGGGCCATTACAAGAGGGAGGCAGTGGGTCCGAATTAGAAAGATGATGGGATGACAACTCAGAGGTCCCAGTGACATGGGATTATGAAGGAAGAGATCAAGGCAGACTCCAGAAACAGGCAAAGGCAGGGTAACAAACTCTCCCCACGGCCCCCAGAAATTCATCCCTCCCCATACCTTGATTTTAGCGCACTGAGACTGATTTGGGACTTCTGACCTCCTGAACCATCAGTAATAAACCTACGTTGTGTTAAGCCACTAAACTCATAGCCGTTTGTTAGAGCAGCCAGAAGAAGCTCATACAAGTACCTATGTTGTCCCAAGTGTGCTGCCAGGGTCAAGGGACACAGCCGTGAAAAGGAGTTTGCCTTGGAGAGAGAAAATAGGCAAACAAATGGTAAACAAGGTAATGTCAGGCTGGGACGAGAATGGGACAGAGAACAGAGAGGAAGCCGGGGGCGCAGCTTTGGATAGGGCAGTTAGAAGGGGCTGCCAGGAGAGGGTGACAGTCCAGCTAAAATCCAGGAGATAGGAAGGAGCCTGCCCGGGAGGAAACAGCAAGTTCAAAGGCCCTGATAGGGTTAGAGGCAGAATGGGCAGGGAGAGGTTGGCAGGAAAAATCCCTGAGCCTCCTGTTAGGACACAATCTGAGAGTCACAGCAACATCTTGGGGGACCTCTTGTCATGATGGCACAATGCAGGCATAGTCACCTGTTCACAGAGACAGAAAGCAGAATGGTGGTTGCCAGGGTTTGGGGGAGGGAGGATGGGAGTTAGTGCTTCATGGGGACTGAGGCTCAGTTTTGCAAGATGAAGGTTCTAGAGGTGGATGGTGGTGATGATTGAACAACGATACTTAATACCACTGACCTGTAACACTTAAAATTGTAAATGTTGGCTGTGCCCATTTTAACAATTGAAAAAGAAAAAGGTGTTTCCCAAAACCCAGAAATGAATCAAGCCTTTAGTTCTTTTTTTTTTTTTTTT